TAATGAACAGAATTCTCAAATACCAACTCCAACTGATCGCCCATCATTCACTCTTATGAGACAAAGTTCTTTACCATTCCAAAGCTCTGACCCAGAACAGATGAGACAGAGTTTGCTGACTGCAATCCGTTCAGGAGAGGCTGCTGCCAAGTTGAAAAGGGTAAGTCTTCTTTATCACATGGGTGACCGTGGGTTTATTGTCACCACTGTCAAACTAATACTTAGGGAAACAAAATTTCTAGCATGTAAATCTAAATAGAGTTCCAGAAGTTAACTTTTATGTTAGAGGTCACTTTTGAAGTATAAGATGAAAGAGTTCCAGAGTCTTACACATACTTGAAAAATATGTCAGGTCTGTTGTCCACAACATGGGCCAGGTGCAGAACATGAGTTTTGTTCATTCTAACATAACTATATAGAGAATGCCCTAGACTCTTATTTTAAGAGATTATGTTAGCACCTCAAGAAAGATTCTTTGGAAAATACCTCACTGTTCTAAAAAAGGTAAATCAGTGATAGGACCCTACAAGTTTGTAGTCATGGCTCTTGCCATGATTAGTTACTACCATATGTGGGACTTAGGGAAGAATTTATAGGTTAAACCAAAGAAAGTAGAGAAAATCTAGAGAATGTAGATGAGACATAATGCAAAAATTCAACTCTTAGTAATGCCCTGCCAAAGTTGCCTAGCTCCTCCTTACTAGACTGGAGTAGAAGAGCATCAAGAGAGGAAGTCTGCTTTTTCTCAAGAAAAACACCCAACAGTATCACAGGGAATTCTTTTCAGGTGAATTTCCTCCTTGGGTTTCCTTCATCCACTGAGAAGAGGATGTGGTGAAGCTTTGAGCAGGACATCAGCACTTAGACTCCTCAGAGGGAGTCCTCTCCGTAAACCTCTGTCCTCTTCTACCCTTAATTGTCCTGGTTGAAAGCACCTTAGCATCTAAGACAAGGAAAGTACTTATCATTCCATGAACTCCTGAGGCATTTCATTTTGAGAATTCCTTCGATGATTATTTTTAAATCCATTCAGAGAATAGTAAGAGACTTGTTGAGCAAAACATTGAACTCAACAGAAATTAAATCTGCAAAGGAACAGGAATGCTACTAAGATAGAAAAAAAAACGGAGAAAGACTTTCTGGGTCTTTCAACCATATCGACATTGGCCAAACTTGACTGCTTAAGCCAACTTCCTCAGTGTGTTTGTGAGGAGCTATGAGTGACAGCCATTCCCTCCCAGATGACTTGGCACTCCTGTCTGGGCAAACATGGAGACAAGGCAAAATATTGGGTGCTGTCAACAGTGGAGGAAACAGGAAGGAATAATTCAGGAGGTTAGGTTTGAATTTTGTAAATTATTTGCAGAGTCTGATTTTAGGTGCCAAGTAGCATAGCAATTCGGTATAGATTTGAATATTGAAATTGGTTTTTCGTAGGTCATGACAAATTTATATTTTTAGAGGAGCATATATGCCCATGTTAATAAATTATGTATCCTCACTTATAAAAATTTTTCTTTCTGATTTTGTCAATTAAGGATGAGTTTCAAACCAAGCACTACTGGTTTCTCAGTTCAATAAATTTGGCAAGCATTTTTAAAGCACACAAGTAACAGGTATTGTACTAGATACTGAGAGCACAAAAGTGAATAAAATGAAGCCTCTGTCTTCTGTGCATTCACAGCCTGATCCTGAGATACAGTGGCATATCAGGCCCATGGGAGAACCAAGTTACTACACAGAAACTGCTTGCAGTGTCTTTATACTAGGTCAGTGAAGATATTCATCAGTTTCAATGAACTAATTGCAGAAAACTGCATTAAGTTGGAAAAAGCCAGCAGAATTATACAGGCCAGCAGCTATATACGTGGTGTATTATGGGCCCTGACTTGGCAGTCCTTTCACACAGAAAACTCTCATTGCTTCCAGAATGAGATGAATATGAATCACCATAAAAATCGGCCACTAAATGATGATCCTATAATTGTTTCCTGTTTAAAACTAGTTACTTTAGGTTCTGTTGAATCTAAAATTTTCTCTCTTTCAGTGGAAGCTTATTGATAACTCTGAGTATATATAGTGCCAGATTCTAATTTTTTAAAATAAAAATCCCATCTATAATCCATCTCATTTCATGAAAAATGGATGTAGTATCTAGTAAAGCTCACAATATGCAAACATCATGACCAGCATTTTTCACTTCTAGTTACATACCCTAAAAATTTTTTTTATTGGATACTAGGACTCTCACACATAAGAATGTTCATGGAATATTGTTTATAAAAACTCCAGGCCAGGCGCGGTGGCTCAAGCCTGTAATCCCAGCACTTTGGGAGGCCGAGGCGGGTGGATCATGAGGTCAAGAGATCGAGACCATCCTGGTCAACATGGTGAAACCCCATCTCTACTAAAAGTACAAAAAATTAGCTGGGCATGGTGGCGTGTGCCTGTAATCCCAGCTACTCAGGAGGCTGAGGCAGGAGAATTGCCTGAACCCAGGAGGCGGAGGTTGCGGTGAGCCGAGATCGCGCCATTGCACTCCAGCCTGGGTAACATGAGTGAAACTCCGTCTCAAAAAAAAAAAAAAAAAAAAAAAAAAAAAAAAAAAAAAAAAAAAAAAAAAAAAAAAAAAAACTCCAAAGAACTATAACCCTAATATCCAGTTAGTAGAATAAATAGCAGCATATTCAAATAATGGACTGTCATATAGCCATCAAATGGACAAAATATAGTAAAATGCAGCAGTATACACAAAAAATACATGAAAATATATATGTGTAAAGTTTGACAGCATACAAAACTGATTTATATTATTTAGTGATGCATGTATAAGCAGCAGTTATTTTTAAAAAGCAAGGAAATAATTACAAAACTTATGACAGTGCTTACCTCCAGAGAAGAAAAGAGGTAGGTGGGGGCTTACTGAGGTAAGCTATGCACACAACTTAAGAAGGAATCAGAAAGCTAAGTAAGCAGATAAATGTTATTTATTTTAATGCAATAAAAATATCCAAAATAATGCAAAAATCTATGATGAAGAAAATACCAAAATTTTAAAAGGAGATTAATAGGGAACTTGGAGGCATTCTTTCTCTTGACAGGAGTGGTGCATTGTATGCAGGTTTGTTTTTCACTGGGTTGCATATTTACATTTAGCAAATTTTTCTATACATATATTCTGTGTCAAAAAAATTGCAAAAGGAAGTAAATGGGCACAGGCCGGCTCTAAATTTCTTGTGCTCTTTGCTTAAGTCCTGTGTTTCTGCTCTGTATTGAAGATTTCTTCTAGTTTCTTTTAAATTCTGACATTTGTTTTATAGAACAACAATTATATTGCCAAATAAACTCTCCAGTGATTTTGGTAGTAGGTTTAGATTGTTCATCAGAAAGTTGGCTCTGTGTTTGTCTATATCTTGGCACTAAAATGTTCAATTTAACTTCAGGTATCTGCTTGTCTTATGGCTCTGCTTTGTACCCAAGCAATTAACCTTCATTATAATGGTTGGTTCACGTTAGAATAATTATCTAGTTGATTGCTGTAGTGTAAATGTAGTCATAAATGTGCCATTTTTGTTTCATGTTTCAGAAGGGATTTTTTTTTTATACCTTACCCTTACTCAACCACCTATAGTCACAGAGATTAGTCTTTCTTTTCTTCATGTAAAGCATAATAAATTGAGCTCAGTATGTTATAAATTGTGTGATGTTAAGGTTTATATATGAATCAGCAAATTATTTACAGAAAATAAGACAGATTAATTCATTACCCTTGTCCTGTGTTGACATAAGAACAATGTTGGCTTTCAGTACTTGATGGTCTCTGATTTACTAAAATTCAAGTTAATACCCTGTTACAAGTAGAATATAGGTTTGAAAAAGTAAGCTCTGAAAGTAAATCAATGAAATTATATTTTGATATTCAGCACTATGTATTAAGTGTTTTTCAAATGTAAGATTTGTGTTTGATTCAACAGAAAGTGGAGGGAAGGAAAAAACTGGGTAAGTCACACAGAATCTTGCTGGCTTGTTTTGTTTATTTAATTGTTCTTTTAAATTCATATTTCCTTGGTTTAAATTTGAAGAACCAAAGAATTTCAGGTTGACAGCTTCTGCATTTTTAAAGAAATGTAAACTATAGAAATTTTCATAGTTACAATCCTTATGGAAAAAAGAAAATTATGTGAAATTCCTAAAAATTCTTTAAACTTCAAGAGTAGACAATCAACTAGTAGATATTCACAGCAGTAAGTTCTTAAATGTTGTTTTTTAAGTTATCTGTATCATAAGTGTAATATGTTCCTCATTCAAAAACATTCAAGTGATACCTTTTTTTTCTTGATGAAAGTTTGTAAAAAGTTACCATATTCCATTTAAGAAATATGAGCACTATACTGTGCCAGGCACTAAAATAAACATTGATATAAAATAGGTATAAACTGGCATTAAAATCAATAAGATATCTGCCCTCAGAATTTATAAACTAGCATTCTAATGATGTCTTCTTGTGTTTAACAGTTTAGTAAACAAGTGTTTAAATGATAAAGATGTCGTTTTTTTTCTGCACAGATAGCCATTCTTGATAGATTCCTCTGTAAGCTTCTAGACCACTATTGTGGGGTATATAAACATATTTAATTTACGAAGTGGAATCCTCTGCAAATCCATTCATAAACAAACATCTCTTTGAAGTGTTTTTAAATTGTTACTTATGTATCTATATTATTCTTTTTAAGATGACATAGTATTTGAGTTTATGAATGTAACATAGCTTATTTGTTCCTTATTGGTAGACATTTAACTGGATTCTATATATGGTGCTACAATGAGCATATTTTACCTGGAGACATTTAGAGCCATCAGTATGTTTTCTAAATGCCTAAAATAAATTTTCTCCTTTATAAATAATTATGAGGGCTGCAATTTTGCCAAGAATTACAAAAATAATTCTCTTGTACACAGAAACATTTGGGACCAAAGTTCCACAATGAAAGTCATTACCTCTGCAGCCAACTAAACCGAGTGAGTTCCTTTCCTCATGGGGCCCAGTGTGCAGTGGCTGCAAACAGCAAGTTCCTTGGTAGTGTATGTGGCCTGTTTCTTTTATGGTTTGCTCTAAGGGACTTTGGTGACAGGCCTTCCAGATGTATGTTCATGTCTCTGACTTTGCACTACCCCAATGTAGGCTCCAAACAGGCATGCAAGGAGCCTTTGGAAAGCCCCAGGACACTGTGGCCAGGGTTCACATTGGCCAAGTTATCATGTCCATCTGCACTAAGCTGCAGAACAAGGAGCATGTGATAGAGGCCCTGAGCAGGGCCAAGTTCAAGTTCCCTGGCTGCCAAAAGATCCACATCTCAAAGAAGAAGGGCTTCACCAAGTTCAATGCTGATGAATTTGAAGACGTGGTGGCTGAGAAGCAGCTCATCCCAAATGGCTGTGGGGTCAAGTACATCCCCAATTGTGACCCTTTGCACAAGTGGTGGACCCTGCACTCAAGAAGGCTTCCACTGTGCTGCCCCCTCCTAATACTCAACAATAAATTCTACTTCCAGTCCAAAAAAATTAAAAAAAAAAGTCATAATCTGTCATTTGTTGGCTATACGTGGAAAGAAATCCCACAGGCATACTAAACAGACTGCAGATGAGTTTTCCATTCTGCTGGTGGCAACTCTTCTTCTTACCCATTTTCTTTCAGATGTGTAGTGTCAACCACTCTACTCCATCCTGGGTTCATCAGAGTCTAGAAAATACATTAGTTTAGATGACCAATCTTTATTTGGTAAAAGGCAAGAAATGAAGCACAAGGAAGCCAAATCCAAATTAAATTTGCCAATTTTATTTTCCTTTTAACTAATTAACTCTGTTGATAGGAGAATCTGTGGCCATTTGTACTCTAGTTGTCTTCTTGTGAGATGGTAGTGTTTGGTTATGAATCTAAATTAGTCAAATTATAATCTAAACTGTCTTAAAATATCTTCATTATATTGTAGGTTTGATATTTCAAAATACAGATATTTACTATTCAGAATCCAAATGACTTTACATTTTTCTAAAGCTGGAATTTCACACTATGTAGAAAATTCTTGTTTTAGTGTTTTTATTCACTTAACGTGTGTGAATAGAAGACTTTGCCGTAGAATTTTGAAACTTATGAGTTTACTTAACTAGGGGGAAAAAAACCTCCTTTTAGTCTGCAATCATTTGGCTTAATATCACAGATTTGAGTTTTTAAATCCTTCATATGAAACATTTTTAAAACCAAGGGCTGGTATTTTTTGTTTTGAATAAATAGGGGGTCATTGGGAGGGGAATTTCACGTTCATTTATACCATCAGTACAAAACATGTAAAGTTCATTGTTTTGTGGAATTCACCTTATACATTCTCAGGGGCAGTTTTTGGGAACCAGAATTACAGAATTAATCTAGCTAAAAATGCTCTTTAGCAGCTTGGCTTCCAGTCTGTTTGTTCTCTTGTCCTTTGTATTGATTTGGTAATTTTGTAAAGATTAAGATGTGTTAATGGATATTTAACTTATTTGTTGTGAAAATAACAACTCTCTCTTTTTTAAATTTTATGGTAAAATGAACTTTTATTTCTTATTAATAATTTATTGAATAATAAATACTTAGCATTTACAATTAAGCAGATGTTAAAATGTGGTAACTGTTGAAAATGGAAAATTAGCTGTCCCATTTTAAATTGATGGGTGCAAAGTCTGTTTCTTTCTCTTAGGTTACCATTCCATCAAATACAATATCTGTGAATGGAAGGTCAAGACTCAGCCATTATTCCATGTCCACTGATGCCCAGGACGGCCGTTAAATCTTACCCTGCCACACTGCACTGCACTTCACTTCCACTTCAGACCAACTTCATACTAACGGAACATTTTGGCAAATGTATATTCAGATGTACACTAATATATTATCTGTTAAAATATGAGAATTTATGCTGTGGCTTTTAATGCCAGAAGAAAAGTTACCAGAATTTATAATAATTTTTTTAAACTTTTTTTGCCTTAAGAATTGAATATGCTGCTTTAGAACTTTAAAATGAGGTGTAAATGATTTTCATTTTTTACAAATGAAAAATAATCACTTTGTATTGATTTCACTTACCAACATATTCTCTGCAATGGTGACTTAGACAAAAGTATTAGATTCATAGACTTATATTTGTATAACATATAACGAGGACAAACATAGATCTGACATTTGCTGCCTCAGTGTTACAATTGGAAATATTTATAAGTTATATGAAAGCCTGTTTTGTGCTGAAAGAATGATTTAGAAAACTAGTGATATCAAATAAGTATATTCAGTTCAGTAATTATTTTCAATGATGAATCACTTAGTGTGAAAGACTTGCCTTGTGTATTCTTTATGTAATTACAAATCACTGTCAAATTTATGGGAAGCTCATAGTATTTTAATATTTTATTAACATGGAACTCTTGTTTTTTTTTTAATCTTTAGAACTTAAATTCTGCAAGAATTTTAAATATTTTCTGTATATAATTATGACATTGTCACATAGAAATTACACATTTTATGTGCCAGAAGCCTTAAAAATCTTTCTGTGAAAATGTTGATATATTGTGACAATTATTTCACATTTGATATGTAGAGAGGAATAGGGGTTAGTTCATGTCCATATAAAAAACTTTAAAGACTATTTAGAAGTTCCAGAAATTCTGGCTTTAATTCAGGTAAAATGATAAAATAGTCATTATATAGTTCAGATGCTAATATCCTAAATAATAATATATATTTACATTGAAGCTAAACCTGTTAAGCAAAACAATGCCTAATTTGTTGGCTTACAGCTCTTCTGGAGTCTAGAGCCTGTTGGTGTTCTGTCCCTACTTTAAGAATTTAATTACTCACTTATTCTAAAAGCTTTGTTCAAACAAGATGATATTAAATTTGTTTTCACTTTAACTACTGGAATATCTGCCTCTTTGGGATTTTTTTTTTCTATTTAATAAAAGCAAGTTTTATATTTGGGATGATTTTAAATATATATAGTTGGTGTCAACTAGCATATTTATTTCCCTTACCTGATGCATACGTATCTATTAGCCAGTGAACAGACAAGTAATTGTCAGATGTACCATTTATCAGGGATCCCTAGTATACATTTAAGCCCTGGTATTCTGACTCCAAAATGGATGGTCTAAGCATGTGAAATGCCTAGCATAGTTCCTGATACATTGCATGGCCATCTTAAATGCTAAATGTTCCTGCTGTTTTCCTTGAATTAGTTGGAGAGACCCTCATATATAGATACTTAAGTTATGTTGTTATAAGCTAGTAGAGTAATGAGTAAATTTTTTTTAATTGTGTTGGTATAATTATCTACTTGTAAAAATATAAATTCGGATCCCTAATTTAAACCTTAATATATTTGAGTTGGATTGAAGACTTAGTTAAAACATGACCCACAAGTAAGATGTTTTCAATATGTTAATATATAAGAAAGTCTTAATTTATGAAAATATAAAAGTTTCTACAACTTATGAAAAGTCTTCCCGATAGAAATATCAGCACACTATTCTTACAAGAGGAAATTCAAAAGGCCAACCTACATGGAAAAAAAAAATACTCTTCACTGAAAATCAGGGAAATACAAGTTAAAAACATGGGAAGGGGGCCAGGAGTGGTTGCTCATGCCTGTAATCCAGCACGTTGGGAGGTCAAAGTGGGCAGATCACGAGGTCAAGTGATCAAGGCTATCCTGGCCAATATGGTGAAACCCTGTCTCTACTAAAAATACAAAAAATTAGCCAGGCGTGGTAGTGTGCATCTGTAGTCCCAGCTACTTGGGAGGATGAGGCAGGAGAATCGCTTGCACCTGGGACATGGAGGTTGCAGTGAGCCAAGATTGCACCACTGCACTCCAGGCAGGTGACAGAGTGAGACTCCATCTCAAAATAAAAACCAAAAAAAACCATGAGAAGTTACCACATCAAATTAGTAAAAACATAAGTTTCAAAATAGCAAGTGTTGTCAAGAACATCAAATAGTGGGAACGCTTAACTGTTGGTAAGAAAATACACCAGCATAACTACCAGTTCTGTGATATCTAGTAAAATTAAACATTCCTTACCGTGTTACCTTAAAGAAGTATTTATGTACACGCATAAGGAAACATCTACAAAAATATTTATGGCAGGCTTGCATAAAACAGCAGAAAGAGGTCCTAACCTGTGCCCCACTTTGTTAATGCATATATTCATATGATAGACTTCCACACAGCAGTCAAACTGAACAAGCTAGAGCTATGCATGTCCACATGAATACATCTCAGAAACAAGTGACAAGAGTGAGTGGTGGAATAAGATGTGTTTTATGAAACCATTTATATAAAGTATAAATATACAAAATACTATGAATTATGGCTGTATATGTAAAAAAAATTGCTGGTGGTTATCTGGTAACTAAGAAAGGTTGAATTGAGATTTACATTGTAAGAGGCATCAATTGTGTTTGTAGTATTTTATTTTATAAACTGAAAACAGGTGCTTATTATATTCTAGATTCTAGTTTACTTATAGTTTATAATAAAATGTTCTAAAGGTTACATAGGATTTATGGGGCTATGTATATAAACCATTAATACATGTATGTTCTGAAAAGTAGTCTTACCTACGACCATTTTAGGAGAATGTGTGCTACCCTCTCAATGGGGAAGGAAATTTGTGACAAGTAGTTTTTCACCCATCGTATTCTGAAATAACACAAGTAAGATACAGGAATGGTCTAGAACCAACTTTCAACTTCCATGTATAATTTTTAGCATCTGGGCATTTTGCTTTTCCTTCTTTCCCCCAATCATTTCTTTATATAATATTAAAATTATAATTCAGATTATATATATATGAATATAAAGTACATTCTTTTTTGTCCCCAGCATCCCACTCTCCTCTCCAGAGATAGCTGTTAATATTTTGATATGAAGTCTTATATAGATGTATTTATATGAAGTACATGTGTGCAGGTTCGTTGGGGGCTTTTATGTTTGTGTGTGTTAACATGAAAGAGTCACAGTCTAATACTATCTAACAGCTTTCCCTTGATACCAGCAGTGTTCTGGGAGAGCTTTTCTTTTTGCACATGCAAATCTATTATAT